TTGTGTTCGCTCCGATCGGGAGCCCGGGCTTGATGGGCCAGATGAACAAGATTTCGATCCTTGAAGAACGCCAACCAGCCTGTCCGCTTGAACCAGCCTGTCTTGTCTGTTTTCGCGGCCTCTTCTAGCGTTTGCAGCTCTTCCTCGACTTCTTGTTGTGTCAGTTTATACTCAGCAAGCTGCCTCTAAACTGCAACCTTGACGTTGTCGTTTAGAGCATTTTCAGCTACCGCTGAATCAACAACAAAGTATCGCTGTAAACCCCCTGTGCGGAAAAAGCTCTGTACTTTAACAGTGTGATAGAGCGCGCCTCTTTCTCCTAGCCAAGCTTGCTGGTGATCTTTCTTACAGTGCATGCGCATTGTGTCCTTGTTGATAGTGATGAAGCTGCATGTCTTGCACTGCAGCCCGTCTAGCGGTTTCCCAAGCTCTTCTATCAGTCGCGCCGGCTCATCTGGAAGCTCAACGTCTGCTGCATCAACTAGCGCGAATTGATTGAAGCGTTCAACAACTTGTTTTCGAGTTGCAGCGGGCACACTGTGATGCTGCAAGAGATGCGTGTTAAGATTAACAACAGCAGTGTAATGCTCCCTGCATACTAAAACACCAAACTCTTGCAAAAAGCAAAGAATCTTATCGCAATTGTCAAGCGATACTTGCAAGCCTCTTTTACGGCGTTGTGCGCTGCTGCTTGTTGTGTTAACTCGCTCTTGCGGTGTTGACAGACGGCTGTCCCACACTAGCTCCATCGTGAGCCCTAAGTTAACCCCAAGTTAACCCTAACCCTGCTGTATCAGTAGATCTGTAATTTGTTGAAAACAACAATACCGGCGCAATATTCAGACGCGTACAAGACGACTTTGTATGAGCGAAATTGCTGTGCAGTGCTTTGTTTCTGATGAGTTGGGTACATGAAGTTTGACGAGTCGCCTCCTTAATTTTAGTGCGAAACCCTAACGCTAAGCGATATTAAGCTAATTTTGCTGCGAGAAGGGCCTCTCTCGTCACCTCATATTGGATAGGAGCCCGGGCTTGATGGGCCAGATGAACAAGATTTCGATCCTTGAAGAACGCCAACCAGCCTGTCCGCTTGAACCAGCCTGTCTTGTCTGTTTTCGCGGCCTCTTCTAGCGTTTGCAGCTCTTCCTCGACTTCTTGTTGTGTCAGTTTATACTCAGCAAGCTGCCTCTGAACTGCAACCTCGACGTTGTCGTTTAGAGCATTTTCGGCTACCGCTGAATCAACAACAAAGTATCGCTGTAAACCCCCTGTGCGGAAAAAGCTCTGTACTTTGACAGTGTGATAGAGCGCGCCTCTTTCTCCTAGCCAAGCTTGCTGGTGATCTTTCTTACAGTGCATGCGCATTGTGTCCTTGTTGATAGTGATGAAGCTGCATGTCTTGCACTGCAGCCCGTCTAGCGGTTTCCCAAGCTCTTCTATCGGTCGCGCCGGCTCATCTGGAAGCTCAACGTCTGCTGCATCAACTAGCGCGAATTGATTGAAGCGTTCAACAACTTGTTTTCGAGTTGCAGCGGGCACACTGTGATGCTGCAAGAGATGCGTGTTAAGATTAACAACAGCAGTGTAATGCTCCCTGCATACTAAAACACCAAACTCTTGCAAAAAGCAAAGAATCTTATCGCAATTGTCAAGCGATACTTGCAAGCCTCTTTTACGGCGTTGTGCGCTGCTGCTTGTTGTGTTAACTCGCTCTTGCGGTGTTGACAGACGGCTGTCCCACACTAGCTCCATCGTGAGCCCTAAGTTAACCCCAAGTTAACCCTAACCCTGCTGTATCAGTAGATCTGTAATTTGTTGAAAACAACAATACCGGCGCAATATTCAGACGCGTACAAGACGACTTTGTATGAGCGAAATTGCTGTGCAGTGCTTTGTTTCTGATGAGTTGGGTACATGAAGTTTGACGAGTCGCCTCCTTAATTTTAGTGCGAAACCCTAACGCTAAGCGATATTAAGCTAATTTTGCTGCGAGAAGGGCCTCTCTCGTCACCTCATATTGGATAGGGCCTCTCTCGTCACCTCATATTGGATAGGGCCTCTCTCGTCACCTCATATTGGATAGGCGCGTCTCTCTAATGCTTAATATGCCCTATGCACTCTTAGATAGGTTTCTATTATACCCTCTACTAGTTGCTAGCCTGTAAATGCAGGTAACCTTAACCTTAACCTCGACTTATATCTAGTTCTAAACCTAACTTTACTTATCTAATATCTTTATTATGCTTACTCTCTTATAACGCCTTATAGGCCCCCCTATCGGTTCTTCTCCCCTAAATGCTGTCTCGATTATTTTTATAGTTTAATGCTGTGCTCTTCTGCTTTTAATAATAGATCTGCTTGCTCTATTAACCTTCTCGCAGGTTATAGGGCCTTTAATAGGCTGTTTGCTATTATCTCTTACTAGTTATAGGTTATGCTCCTTAACTACCTGCCTTCCCTCCCTCTCTACCCTTTCGCTTTTCTCTAATAGTCTCGACTATGCTTCTATTAATACTTGCTGCACTCTTAGATAGGTATCTACTATACCTCTATTATACATAACTAACGCATAAGTTATAGAGGCCTCTTTATAGGTTGCAGACCTCTCTATAGGCTTAGGGGCACCTCTATAAGTAGTATGCCTTACTATCGGCCTCTTCTTCTTCTATGCTATTGCTAACTACTGCGCTTAGCATTCTTATAATATATTATTACAGCTTACCTCTCTACTGCTTTGCTATATTAACCTCTCGATAATACCTTATTATAGCTTTGTTGCCTACCTCTTCTCTTTTCTTAACTACTGCGCTTCTTGTGCCTCCCTATAGGCCTTCTGCCCCCCCCCCCCCCTTCTACTTTACCGCTGCGCTCGGCTTCTTTATAATACCTTATAGGCCTACTGCCTACTCTCTTCTCCCTTCTTTTTAATAACCCTCTCTTAAAACCCCTATAGGCCTACTGCCTAACCCTTCTTCTACCTTCTTCTCTCCCTTATCTCTTGCTTATAATACCTTATTACGGCCCTACCTACCTCTCTTCTTTCTCCTTTACTCTCTACCGCCCCTGCCTAACTGCTTTATAACACCTAACAGGCCTACTGCCCGCCCCTCTCTTACGCACTATAGCATCTATAGGTTTAGGAATGCCTTTCTAGCTATAGCACTATAATTAGATTTGCTAAACTTCCTCTAACTACTGTTCTATCTTATAATAATACTCTCTAAATGCCTAAAACACCCTTTTATATATTATCTCTATCCTAATCTATCTACCTAAACCCCCTAACAACCTTTTTAAATGCCTTCTTCTCTCTATATCTTATTTTTCCTAAATTTTTATTATCTTAATTCTGCGCTTTCTTTTTAATATAAACAGCTGCTTTAGGTTCGAGACTTACTTAGTTTTAGGTGCTCTTTCTAGGCTATAGGCTCTTTCTAGGCTATAGGCTATTCTTAAATAATTAGCTCTTACTAATTTAGAGTTACTAATATAAACTCTCTAGGCTTAGGTAGAGACTACTTTTAGGCTACTTAGGTTAGGGGTCTACTTTTAGACTACCTAGAGTTAATACTACTTTTAGACTACTTAGGTAGCGCGCTACTTAGAGAACTATATAGGAACTACTTAGGTTAGAGGATCTACTTAGGTTAGATATATTACTTAGGTAGGGTAACTACTTAAGTTAATGCGCTACTTAGGGAACTACTTAGAGGAACTACTTAGGGAACTATTTAGGGAACTACTTAGGTTTTATAGGTCTTCTTATTAGCTTCTATATTCTTCTATATGCTATTGTCTACTTAACTTAAATATAGCAAACTCTAACTCTATCCTAACTTGCATCTAGGCCTAACTACAACTCTACTACCCTAACTTCTATCCCGCCCTAAACCTAACTCTACTACCCTTAACCTATATTCTAGCCTAAACCTAACTTAGCTATACTGCTTCTATTAATTATAAATAAAAAACTCTTTTATTAGCTACTACTATGCCTACTACTTCTACTCTGCTATTAACTGCGTAATCTAATAAAACTCCCCTACTAACCTATTGCTTTTAATATACTCTAACGCCTATTTGCGCCCTAAATGCTTAATTAATCCTTCTATTAAACTTGCATCGACGCCCTGCTCTACTAACTAGCTAATCTACCGCTCTATTACGCCCTCCCTACCCCTATATACTAATTCTAATAACTCTGCTACTAATACCCCTTAGTATTAATAATCCCTTCTATCTACCTTATAATACTATCTATATCTATTATCTTCCTATCGGTTGCACACCTCCTATAGTACTCTATACTAAAAATAACCTAAATATGCCTCGAACCGCATCTTCTTCTCTACTGCCTTAATTATCTCCTTAGCCTGCTAGCTCTCTAGCCTCTAACACCGCTGCATATTATGCTTGCTCTATCTATTGCCTGCTACCTTATATATCCTATACCGCTTTATCTACTATACTAACTGCCTGCACAACTACTCTATATTAGCAAACTCTTGCTACTACTACTATATTAACGTCTGTTGCAGGCTGCGTTATGCTTGCTACTACTGCTTAAACACCTACTATACCTCCTCTTACTCTGCCTCGACTATATTAGTATCCTCTATATTACTACTGCCTCTCTTATTCTTCTTACTCTCTTCCTCCTCTATCTCCTTCTCTATCTTCTCCTTATCTTTTTCCTTACTATCTGCTCCTCTACATATATTGCACTTCTTCTCTCCCTCTTTATATACTACCTGCTCTTTCTTTTACCTATCTAAATACCTATCTAATACTACCTGCCTATATATTACTATCTTATCTATGCCTTCTATATACGCTTGCACTAACTGCTATTCTACCTCTACCTGCTTGTTCTTAGCTGCCTGCTGCTTACCTTCCTATATAATTATAATTGCCTTGCTATATAATCTATCGCGTCCTACACGCCTACTTTTCTATGCGTAATCTAATATAGTAAATAGCTAATTAATATATATAATATACTAGATATTAGGTATATTAATGCCTATCCCTAACGCGCTTATTGCTATAATTATATACTTTTTACCTGCAGCAAATTCTTCTAATATGCTTGCTTTGCCTATAGCCTTATAATAGTATGCATAATAACCTAACTTCTTTGCTAACTTCTTAACCTTTAGCACTAAATTGCTATATACTATAACCTTGCCTATCTTATGCCTACGCAACTTCTACTACACTATGCCTAATACTATCTCTTCTACTTCCTTCTTCTTTGCTGCCTTACCTACCCTAATTATGCGGTACGCTATATTTATTCTTGCGGTTTTAGCTTAGAATAAATTAACCTAATCTTACTTAATATATATCTGCTAGAATAACTTATCTTTCTTACTTAGTAGTAATATTACTATTAATATTACTATCTGCGTCTTAGTAGATGCTAACTTACCTAACTTCTACATCTCTTTATAGAAATTATACTAGTAGTTTAATATAATATAATACTTATTAATTATAATCCAGTCTAGCTATCGCGTTACCTGCAACTAGTTTAAAAACGTTGCAAACTTTTCCCTAACCGCTAACTTAGGCGTTACTAATATAACTGCGGCTGCGTCTAGTAGGTAGCAGCTATTCTACTTAGCGCATAATATGCCTAACTTCCTGCATTGCTGCATTATATCTCCTTGCAACGCGATTAACGGCACTATAACTACTATTATACTGCTCTGCTTAGCCTATGCTAGTAATATAAATAATATGCTCTTGCCTGCCCTAGTTAGCATTATAGCTATAACGTAACTCTTGCTAGCAATAATAGCCTTAATAGCCTCTTTCTGCACGCTGCGAAACTTAACTACCTTGCCTATTATCTGCTGCAACTGCGCGGCTGTGTCTATCTTCCTTAACCGGCCCTACCAATTAATCCTTACCTTATCTGCCTTACTCTTAAATAGGGCCTGCTTGCATTTCTTGCACTTATTATTATTATTAACGCCTGCTTAGAACTCTAAAAACCAGTGCTAATCTATACTTAATATATAGAACTACTACCTCTTATCTACTACTACCCCTATCTATTCTATAATGCCTTGTGCATATATTATCTCTATAATATGCACTATATGCCCTACCTACATGTCTGCAATAGCTAACTATATGTTCTCCTTGTTCTACTTCTTATTCTTATCTCCCTTATCTGCTTAAAACGCGGTAGACCTGCATAAAAACCGCTAGCTAATGCTAATAGTAATCTCGCGATATGCTAGAATTATTAGCTCTAACCCTAATCTAATCCTGCTCTTACGCTTTAATATCTTGCAGAACTAGTTACTTGTCTACTTGCAGCCGCTTAGGTCTGCTAGCTATATATGCAACGATATTACCTCCTTCTCCTATACTATCGCCTCTAACTACTACTAGAATAGTAATACTAACTATATATAATATACTAATAGCTTACCTACCTTGCGCGGTAAATACTAGTAGATAATCTTAATATTACTACTTATACTATATCCCTTATAGTACTGCGTTATAAATATAACTATACTATCCTTAATAAATATGTTATAGTACCTGCCCTTAACTATATTGCTGTGCTAGATGCTTATAATCTCTAGGCCTCTTGCTAGCTATCTGCCTACTATATACATTAATATAATTAACTTCTCTTAGAACGTAACTACTTAATCTATATACTGCTCTACCTCCTGCATATTAATGCCTAAATAGGTCCCCTGCTACATAAATTAGTCCCTAATAGTAGCGTTCTGCCCTACCTGCTAGAATAACTACCTCTCTCTATTAATAGGCATGCGCGTGCAGTAGTCCTTTAAAAAATTCTACCTAGGCTGCTTATCTATTAGGTTATCGCATAAACAGTCCTACAGCATACTAGAGATAGGCTTAGCAGCCTTACTATTGCTAAACAATAACTTGTCTATTAATAACTATCGACTCTCTATTGCTAATCTATATACTATGCTGCAGAACTGTGCTATGCTAAACTGCAAACTCTTATATAATAACTTGTTCTAGCTAACCTACTCGACATAGCTGCATAACATAGTATTATAATAGATCCTTAACCTATATGTCCGCAAATCTAACATCTACTATATTAGGCTATAGCTACTACGCACTATAAACTAGTCTATTATCTCCTATATAAACTATAAATATCCTTTACGCTAGCGTTAGGGCAGGTTGCTGCTATTATTACTCTTATACGCGCTGTTGCTGTCGAACCTATTATTGTCTAATAGGCCTAATATCTCTAATACCTGCTACACGACTATAAGCCGCGCTACCTTAATAATAGCCGATAAAACAGGCAGATACTGCTTAGCGCCCTTCTAACTATCCTCCTTTATGCCTAATATAGCTAACGCGTATACTAATAGGCTGTTATACTCCCTATAGGTAATCTTCTAGCTTATTAACGCAATATAAAACTCTAAACATGCCTGCTAGATGCTTAATAACCTCTCTAGCTTGCTAATAGCGTTAGTAGTAGGCTTAGCTGTGTCTATCTCTACCTTGTTAATAGCTTTGTTAATGTCTGCTATAGTCTTGTCTTCTTTGTCTTAGTCCTCTACCTCTTCCTCTTCTTCTTCCTCTTCCCTGCCTTTGTCTTTATCTTCCTCTCCTTTAACGCTTCTCTCTGCTGCCTTAACTAACGCCTCCTATGCCTTACGCTGCTAGCGTATAAAATAGTACTCTAGACTCTTCTATGCGTGCTCCTATTATATTTGTGCAAAAAATATTAATATCTGCTACTATAGCTATATATAGTCGCTAATCGACTTCTAGTCTATATATAGCTACAACAGCTAAAACCACGTCTAGTGCTTCTCTATTTAGATTGCCTCTAACCGCACAAATATACTAATATAGTAGATAACAGACGCTTAACTAAACCGCGCTAAATCTTCTATTGCTGCCTATATTGCTGCCTCTATAGGCTTAGCCTGCTGCTCCTATCTTAGATTAGGCTCTGCTATAGGCTCCTCGATGCACGCTATTAACTCTAGCCGCTCTATGCCTACTAAATATAGTAACTATTGCGTCTGCTCTAACTATAGGTTTACTTTATCTGTCTTGCCCTCCTAGATAGTGTTCTGCGCCTATATCTTAACACTAGCCTATACTTTAGCTATCTACTTGCCTACCTGTGCCTATGCTGCTTTGCTGTTAATAGGTATAATATCTAGGCTATCGTCGCTAGGCTAGTAGACCTAGAAATACTATAACCCCTAGCCCTAGACTAATAACTGCTAGCAATGCACTTTCTTATAGTGCTAGCTAATACGCTCTTATATCTTCTTCTACTTCTTTTAGGTTAAGTATCTGCTCTTCCCTGCTGCTAACTAACTATAGATATCTTACTAATGCTTTCTTATACTCTCTAGTTTTCTAAATATTTAGTAATAATAGTTAGGGTTAACCTAGCATATTAACCTATCCTTATATATAGGCAATAGATAGATAGGCTTAATAACCTAGCTAGGCACCTCTAGCTTACTAGCATACTAGATTAAACTAGCCTAATTACTTACTTCTTCTGCTATAGCTTTAGCTTGCTTCTACTTAGTAGGATAGGCCTGCTATATATAGCTCTTAATATAGCTAGGCAAAACGCTATATTAGCACTCTCTGCACATAGCTAACGCGTACTTAACTAAATGCTTAAAATACTTAAAATACTTAAAATACTTAAAATGCTAGCCCCTAACGCTGCTTTCTGCTATAATTATAGAATAGTTATAATAATAATTAAATTTTATAATATAGACTATAAATAATAGTTTAATATAGGCTATATTAGGCTATAGACACGGCTTTATATCTCGCGTTATAGACGCGTCTTTGCTTTTAGTAATAGCTAGTTATTATCTTAGAACGCCTCTAAACCTAGCTATCTAGGGTATCGCAATATTATAACTCTAACCCTAATATTAAACATAAAACCCTAATACTATTAACTATATTAACTGCAGGGCTGCAAATAAGTATTAACGTGCAGCTAAACGCGCTAATTAATATATCTAAATTTTAAAGCTATTAGCCTATAGGAACCTAACTAGTCTAGTACCTTAAACTCTTCTAGGGCTAGCCCCTATAACGCACTATATACAGGCAAAGGTATATATTATAGCACTAGATTATCTAGGGTTAGGGCTAATCCTAAGTATTGCCCTAGAATAGGCCTACTACCTACCCCCTCTTCTTCTACTCTAGACTACCTACTACCTACCCCCCCTTCTTCTACCCTAGATAGGCCTACTACCTTCCTACTCTATTACTCTCTTACTAATACCTTATTATAGCTTTACTATATATATATACCTATTATTTTATTAATTTCCCTACTTGCTACTCTACTCTACTACTCTCCTCTTCCTCTCCTTCTTATCTCTACCTCTCTAACACTAGCCTAATTACTATTACTATTGCGTTGCTAAATATCTATCTCTAAATCTCTAACCTATATAGCTTTTCTAGCTACCTAGTATATACTTTATCTCTTATCTTTATAAATCCTAGCTTACCTATTACCTATATTCTGCCTCTTATTAACTATGCTATAAATACTAGCAGCACTACTATATTTAGCTACTAGCACTACTTATCTATCCCTTCTCTTATTATATAGTACTTCTAGCTTACCTAGTACTATTAGTAGTTATTTCTTACTATATAGTTCTATATCTTTACCTAAAACTAATCTATCTATATCTCTATTCCTCTACTCTATGCTATATACTATATTACCTTATAATCTCTCTACTACTCTTCTCTTGCTATCTTAAACTACTACTCTACTACCTAGTATATTATATACCCCTCTTATAGCTCTCTAAACGCCTCCTCTACTACTACCTACTCCTATAACTACTTTTTCTACTCTTCTATCTATACCTCTTCTCCTTCTCTATATTAATTATAGCCTACTACCTCTATATCCCTATACTATACCCTCTTACTATCTAAGTATAAGCTTATAGCTTCCTATTAGCATCTACTTCTAATAAGAAACTATCCTATTACCTATATATTAATATCGCTACTTTCTCTCTCTATCTGCTTCTCTATCTCCCCTTACTCTACTACTACTACTATATTAACTTGCTCTTCTTCTTATCCTCTGCGCCTACTTACCTGCGCAAAATCTATTATGCTCTATAGTATCTCTATATGCAAGATATATATAATCCCTAGAAAGTCTACCCCTATTTCTAACGCTAATATAGCTATAATTAGCCTGCTCTACTCTACCTATCTCTATAGCTACTCTACCTAATTATCTATACTAGCGTAATAATGC